CTTGTTATTAATTACACTCTGTAAATATGTGGACAGGGCTACTGATGAGCTGTGTTAATCTCTGTGCTGATACAGCAGGATCACTTATAGAGGAGATGAATCTCATGGAGTGGATTAGTGCTGGCCTTTCAGATGTCCACCTGAAATGATAACCTGTCCTCTCTGGCTGCTGTGCTCTTCTCTCTCCTGTCTCTAATACAAGCATCACCTGATACAGGAGCATGACTGCCTTTGATGTGGCACTTTTTGGTTGTCCTGAAGTTGATTGTCAACCTGCTGAAGGAACTGCAATGCCTTTACACTCTGATTTGTGGGAAACAGAGTTATATATTCCACTGTGGGGTATATGCAAAGCACTTTGCCAGTTTAGAATTGGCAAGATCTGGAGGAGGGTTTAATGAATAAAAGTAATTTTCCTTCATAGTAAAATTTTATGGGCATGAAAATTGTTACACCACCGAATACTCTGAAGAGCTTCTGAGCGCTTTTGTGATTTATGGGCTCAGAGATTCCTAATAATTGTCTCAACAATAGGAGTCCCTTCAGGGATGTGTTTTCAACATCAAATGAAACCTGAGCTCCTATTTCTGGTTATATTTTTTTCTGCTTTCGTGCCAGCCAAGTTGTGTCAAGACTCAAGGCTGCTGGATTCGGCAGTCTTGAAAAACTGCTGGCCTTATTTTAGAGAAGTGGTCCATTGTATTAAATCTGGATTTAGTGGTTCAGTATACTATGCAGTGAGGTGGCAGGATATGGCAGTGCCAGATACTCTTAATCTGTATTGTATATAAGCCATTGAAGATAAATAATTGACAGGAGTTGGCATTTTTGTCATGCAAGCCTTATAGCAGCGTATTCAGCAGACAGTGTAGTCTCTGCATAAACAAAAACATACGGACTGTGGAGAGGTATGTGTGTAAAATAAGTGCATAAGGAAATACTTGCAGGACTGGAACATCACTTTTTTCCAAAGGAAAAAAATATTTTTTTCTGATTATCCCCCCCTCCATCCTCACTTCTGTCTAGAAAACCAAAACAGTTTATTGAATTTTTCAGGTCATTTAGTTTTGTGTAAGCTCAGCTTGAAATTGCGTTTTCCAGAGGGTTTGTATTGCCTTAAGGGCATTGTAATTCAGCCTGGCCTATGTCCCCACTCTGTTCTGCAGGCTGCTTCTCCCTTTTTTCATTCTCAACCAGCTGAGCTGCTTGATGCCCGAGGGACACCTGCCCCTGGGGTGTCCTGGGAAGCGTGGTGTGGCTGTGTGGAGCCTGGCCCATAGGATATGGGGGGGAAACTTCACATCTGAGCTGTGTTCCCTGGAGTGCACAGTATGACCCCGGAGAAAAGTGCAGTTCGGCATTGAGCTGATCTGAAATTAATTTTGGGGAGATTGGTTTGATGGACAGAAACAGTTCAATTTAGCACAAAAAGAGTGTTTTCTTTATTTTGATTAAAGAGTGCCTAAGTGTAAGTTTTTGCTGCTTCTGAATCAATATCACTTGGAACATTTTTCATTTTTTTTATTTCTTTTCCCCAGAGAAAAATGTTTTCATCTTAATTTAGGTTGAAGAGTGGGCATTTTCTACAGGGTGGCAATTCTAGATTTCCCTCAGTTCAGGGAAAGAAAATGGTTTTGGGTTTTTTTTTTTTAAATAGTACATTAAATATGAAATCTCCAATTTTCAATTGAATTCAGCTTTTAAAATGAAAACTGTCAAAATTTTCATGCAAAATTACTCTGACACAGAAAAGCCACGATTATTTGTTGGTGTTGACAAAAACAAGCTAAGCTTCTTCAACTACAAAGTAGAAATCAGAATCAAATCTCTCAGCTTGAATCAATAAGGGGTTTTTCTTTTTCATTTTATTTTCTCATGTCAGAATTTGGTTTTGAAAAATATGTCCAATTTTCTTTATATTTTGTTCCATTCTTTTTCAACTAAAGCATTCAAATAACAGAATGTCTTTAGAAAACCTGGTCCTTGCCCACATCTGCCCCTGATACCCCTGCTTCTAGTTTCTCCTCAGTGTATTGGGGCAACATGATGTGAAGGCCTCAGAATATCTTTGAAGTTTCCTCTGCAACGCTCTGTCAAAAGCACCCCACGAAAACAACTCGGGGACCTTTCAGGCTTTGATTTGTGTCTTAACCGCATGTGGCACTTTGTTAGTAGCTATATTTGCTCCGGTCTCACGAGGCAGCGTTGGAGGGAAATGTGCTTTTGCAGCTTTTCCTGGGAAGGTTGTGAGTTCAGCCTCTCTACTCTGGCTTTCTAACTCCCGAACCATTGCAAGAGTTGCTTTTACTGAATCTGAAGTGTGCTGTCTCAAAAGCAGGTGGGGACGGGGGGAGGCCACCTGGGGTTGTGGTGCAAGCGTTGTCTGGCCTGGGCATATGTGGTGAGTAATTTTATCGATAGGTTGCTGTAGGTGACTGTACTGTGTCTTACCACTGCCTCAGGGAACTCCTTCTATTTCCTGGGACCCTTTGTGAGATTTAACTGCAAAGGGATGCTCATGCTGAGCTGGATTTTTGTTAGTCATCCTGGCAAAAATCCAGAAAAGCCGTACTAAACAACATGCTTTTACTTTGGACTTATACCCAGGAGCTGAGGAGGATTCAACCCACTCCTGTAAAGCTGGTGTCATCCTGCAGTTTGCAGGGTATATAATAGATAAGTGACATCTTCAAAAATGTAGGGCATAGGAGATGTGGGGAGAGGCACACAAAGAGCTGGGAGAGTATGGATGGTGCCTTTAGTTGTAATTGCACCTTAAGGTAGAAGTACTCTGTTGAAATTTGACCAAGGCATGGAGATTTTATTTAATATGCTTAGGGCTGGATCCAGTATCCACTGAACTCAGCAGAAGTCATCCAGCTGTCTTCAATGTGATTAGGCTCTGAAACTGGAAAACTAACTTTGTGAAACCTTGTCATAGTTGCGGGCAATAAGAAGGGTGTCGTTTCTGGCAGGGCTTGTGCTGTGGTGGGTGGCTTCCTAGAGATTCTCGAGAGGGTCCTGTCTGAGCCCTTGGGGGAATACAGGGAGCATGCTAAAAATGTCACACTCACCAGGTTGTAGCTGGGAGCAGGCTGCACTGCTTCCCTCAACTGGTGTAAGGCAAGGACGTATACAAACCTTGGTTGCTGCAACTTGCAGCTGGCTCTTACCCTTTGTATGGGAAGGTGTGTGCAGGATTTAAGGTGTGATAAAAAGGATATTGTCCTTATTTTCCCACTGCACGGCATTGGTTTAGGCTGACAGGGGCTCACATATGCTGACTCAAATCTGCCTGGCAGGTTTCTTTTCACACCCTGCTGGAAGCAGCTTGGCTTTTATCTTCCTCCTAAACATCTCTGCGTGGGGAAATAAAGGGACAAAATGCAATTGGGGATGGGGAAAGTGAATCCAGTAGAGACAGGAATGCTCAGAGCATCTATTCTAAAGCCATTAAGTTGGGCTCTGACTGCACAGTCATGTACCAAGGCCCCTAACAATTTGAACAGGTCTCTTCCTGGTATTGTGCTGACAGTAACCAACTGCTGCAGCCATTGTGATATTGATTAATCTTTTGGTATTTTTCTGCAAAGCTTTAAAGTCCTCACCCAGCAGCCTTTCAGCTGGGAAACCCAAATGAAAGGTGTGGCGGGTCTCACTGCTGTGGGAGGACGAAGAGGGAGAGACAAGTGGCTTTTATAGTAGGAAAAAATCCTTGTTACATAGGAAAACATTAATGAACTCAACCCTTTGGGACACATCTCGCATTTGGACCCATCTTTTAGCCCAACCATGAAGTACCTGTTAACAAAACAAAAAACCCCAAGTACTTACTAAAACTTTCCCCAGATGCTTTCACAGCCCAAGCAGATGCAAGGCAAACTAGCCTGTTCTTGAATCCTATAAGGAGGAAATGATGCTGAAATGTTAAAGTGATGCAAAACAAAAATTAAGAGATGTCCCAGAGCTCTTCCTGAGGCTGTTCCCATAGAATCCGAGGGAATGAACTGTGTGACATTAGTTATGCTAAAACAGCAAGGAGCAGATGCTCAAACGCTCTTAACTTCTACTGAGGAACTTCTTTCTGCAGTAGTTCCCATCCTGTCTGAGCCTGGGAGCTTGCACAGAGGCTCACAGGTTATTGGAGTGCATAGCTGCCTGTCTGGGCAAGGTAGCTGGTAATTAGGAGGATTCCATTTACCTGTGAAATCTGAGGTCAGAGCACCAGGGATATCAGAGGGAAGTTATATTCTCCTGTGGTCTCTTGTGTAATTCTTAATACCCCTCTTCTACCTCAGTTTTGCAGGGACATGACTCGGGAGTGTTCATGGCTCACCTGAAAGTTAGTTGGTGGGTCCTGAAGGCTCTGACTCTCCTTGAGCGCTGAAGATGCAGCTGATGTTTTGTCTTGCTCAGTGTCTAAGCTGAATGTCATGCTCTGTGTCCCTCTATTTTACCACAGCAGAAAGGCAATAGCGTGTGGAAATTCCCATGCTCCCGGAGTCAGTGACAGCAGATGGAGAATAACAAAGCTTATTCTGGGCAAAATGGACTGTTTTGTTAGATGGGGATCTTCATAAACAAAACTCACCAGTTTGTGGTAGCACCTTGAGAAACAGGAAGAGTCAACTGTAATTTCTGATTGGGCTGTTGAGTTAACAAGGGTGCATGTGATTCCATCCCTGACCTTGAATAACCATAGCTGTAGAGAGGGAGCAGCTCACAATGTTTGATTAATTTGTGTTGGCATGCTTTATTTCAAATGCAAAACATTTTGAGATTAAAATAAATGTTATTGGTTACATGATGCATTAAGGTAATGATTTTTTTTTAACTTGATCCTATAATACTACAACTTCAATGGATAAATGCTGAACTCTCCTTTGGGTGATTTCAGATGCCTTGTGTATTGTTACACAGTCTAAAGGAAAACTCTTTTTCCCCCCCCCGCCCCTCTTTTCTCTTCCCTTTATCTTCCTCCCTCCTTTCCCCCTCCCTAGGTGATTCTCATCCTGACAAAGCTCTACGACTTCAACTTGGGGAGTGTTACGGAGAGCTCACTGTGGAGGTAAGTGGATTGTAGAAATCACAGCAACTGGCATGGAGGGGTTGCACTGTGTCTCTGGCAGAACTGGAGGCTGAGTAAAGGGAGTACCTGAGTTGATCAGGGGAGGAGGTGGGAGGGAATCTGAAATAACTGGAGTTGCTTTTTGGAAAAGGGACACATGATTAGGAACACAGTTTTAATAAAGTGGTGTCTGCAAACAGGAGGGTCTCTTGGTGTAAGGGCACTTCCCTGGGACACAGAGGAGCTTGGTTTCATTCTTGCCTTTGTGTGTCCTTAGACAAGTCTCTTCGTTCCTCTGAGTCTCTGCTGTGTGGCTGGCAATGATAACATTCTCTATAGATAGTACATGCTTGCTAGGACAGTGCCCAAGATGGTATATGACACAGTGCGTGATGTTATCCTAGCTGATCTAGCCATGTTCCTCAGCCCTGGGAGCTGAGATGGTCATTTTGGCAGTGAATCTGTGTTGCTTTGGGCTGTAAGGACAGTAGCCACTAAAGTACTAGAGATATCACAGTCAGGTGCTGGTGTCTTCTCCGCTATGGATAGACTTGGATGGTGTCATGTACCTGCCACGTTCCTAGGCTGGTGTGGGAGATGGAGTGTCCTGGCCTGAGGAAGCACGCTGCTGGACAGAGCATGCATTTATAAGAGTGTGTGTGTGTTTAAATAAAAAAATAATCCTCTCCCCTCCACACCCCCCCCCCCCCCCCCACCAACCCCCTCCCCCCCCCCCCCCCCCCCCCCCCCCCATATTCACCCCTATAGACAAGCCTGTTCCTTGATGTCTGAAATCACCAATAGTTTCTACCTGCTGGGCATTGCTCTTCCTCCTGACATCCTGTCTGTGGTGTGGAAAGGGTATGTCTGTAACAGAATTGTCCTTAGGGTAAAAAACACCTAATAACAACAACAACAAAAAAACAGCCAGCGGTTGAGGGAGACCAAGTGCCCTGTGTCAGATTTGCCTGGTGTATTACAGCTATTGTGCAACATGCTGAAAGTGTAGGTGGTGGAACTGTCAGTGCATCATAGCCATTGCTCCAGGTGTGAGCAGCTTCTTAGCAGATGGTCTGTCGTACTTCTTTCTTCCCAGCTAATTTAAAAGCCCTTGTTTGGAGCAGACTTTGGGTGTGTGCTGCAGGTTTGTTCCTGTTAATGTATTTAAGGGTTAATTGTTCAGTAGAGCTCTTGAAACTTCTCAGTTTAAACACTACTTCCAAAGCCTAATTGCACTGTACAGTGGTAATCTGCAAAAAGTATAAATAACCATGCAGCTAATAAGAGAGAACACAGTCATTTCCACTTACCCTGGTACTTTTCAAGATATTAAAGCCTTAAAAAAACTTTTGCCTCTTTACCTAACAAGTACAAATGGTGCTGTGATTGTACTTTAAATGTAATTGCCAAGCAATCTGTTCTGCATAAATAATGTAACAAGCAGGCAAATCCTGTCCTAATACTGAACTCACAGTGTCACCTGAGCTCTGCAGAAAGGTAAAGCAGCATCCCTTTTGGAGTTTTCCCATGTGATTCATTGCTCTCTGACACAAAAGCCACCCCTCTCTTGTGGAAGCAACTGTGTTTGCCAAGCATTCAGAACAGATACCACGCAACACCACTGCTCAGACAGAAATGCAGTTCATCATCAGTGTGACGAAAGGCATCCAGTACTCAGTCAACCGGGGAAGCACACTGGTTTGTGAGTGTGTTTCAGTGTGTTCAATGTACTTCAGAGGGGAGCATGGAGTCTGAGAGAGCAGCTATGAGTTTCTTTGGAAAGGACATTGTAGAAATGCAAATAGATACTAAGTGGAAGCAGTAAGCCAAGAGAAAGACTCCTTTTCTCAGGATTTTCTGTTCTATTTGCACATTAATGCCTCTGAATCTTTGCATTATTTAAATTGGTACTTTTCAATATTTTCTTTTAATTTTTGAGACCCTGAAAATTCCAAAAGGAGGATCTGTCTTTGCAGAGTGAGTTAAAGCCTTCTGGCAATAGGTTTGCTTTCTTTAATTACTTTTTGTAGGCTCCTTCAAAGCCATCTTTGAGCCTGCAGAACTGATGGGTCACAAACTGAATGCAGCTATCAAGTAATTATTGGAAGGACGTCTGGACATTTTCAGGAGTGAGGTTTTTTTGTGTAGTGTTTTTGTTGTGAGGCTCCCCCCCCAGCCCAGGAATACGACACATCCTTTCTGTTAAACAAGAGTCCTGCCCATCTGAGCAGTGGTGCTGCGTGGTATCTGTTCTGAATGCTTGGCAAACACAGTTGCTTCCACAAGAGAGGAGTGGCTTTTGTGTCAGAGAGCAATGAATCACATGGCAGTGCTTTAGGATGCTAAGATAAAGCAGAGTGCAATGCAATCTCCAAATATCATCTTGCCTCCGTCTGCCTTATGCATCAAAAGCTTCTTCTCAGTTCCCCCTGGGTTATAGCATGAGAAGCTTCTTTAATGGAAAACTGAGTTGCCATATAAGTGAAATTTCTAATCCCTGCATCTAAATACAAAGACAAGTAAATCAATAAGAAAACATCCTGAATGTAATTAAAAAAGGGAGTGAGAGCAAGAGAGGGAGAGAGGAGAATTAAAAGTTATCTTGGAAGCTGCTCCTATATCAGGCTAGTACGAGTTTAGACAGAGGAAATGCTGCTCAGCATTTGAATGCAGGAGCACAGACCTTGCTCTAATAAACAAATCCATGCTTTTGGGGCCCCAAAAAAATCACAGAAAAGACCTCCATTGCTACTGAAGCAGACAGCCTTGAAGCAGTCAGCTTCAAGGAAAAGATACATACCCCCACACCCACCCAGCCAGCCACATCCCTCCCCCTTGTGAATGCCACGTCTCTTCTTGGTCACAGATAGACCTGTCAGTTGTGGTTTGTATTTGTGTTTTTCCCACGGAGTTGAGTTGAGGTGATAGTTGTCCTCCTATGGAAGGAAGCTACTTTATTGCGGTTGTACTTTTGATGGTATGATACATCAGAATATGTGGAGAGAGGTCTTTTCATAGGTCAGCAAATATAACTGTAAAAATTATTTAAGCTTTTCAGACATGCAACTCTTCATGAGTTCTCATTGTCTAGCAAAATATCTAAATAGGTAGTTAGGAATCCGGCTACATCCTGCTTGCTTTAAGTAAAAATTGGATTAAGGGTTGGACATATGACTTCTGTAGAATTCCCTCCCATGCTAACACTTCTTCTCCACCAACAAAAGAAAAACAGTTTTCCCTCTCAATCTGTAAGCTTACATGGTTTTGATTTGAAGTGCTGGTGGAGCACCTCTAATTCCCAAACGCTTTGTAGGCGAGGGTCCCTGCATCAAACTTCATTGGCCATGATAAGCATGCAGGAGTCATCTGTCATGAAATATGAACTCCCTCTGTAAAAAGTAGGGACCAGGCTGTTTCACAGGAATTGTAGTCCAAGAAGGCATCTGTTGAACAGAGGAGAATGAGAGGGTTAGATATGCAAAATATGGTGTCTAAAAGGCACCATTCACAGCCAAGAGTTGAGGGGTTAGGGGATTTTTTTTTAACCTATTTTTGTGTTGAAAATCTCAGGCAAATTTTATTAGGAGGAGGAGAGAAGGGAAATCCTATTCAATGGCTTATTTCTTCAAATGTGTATGTTCATAACACTTCCAGGTCTGACCATAGAAATTGTGGTAAGTGAGTTTTGGTTTCAGGTGTATGTTGTGTTCACATATATTAAATGGAGATTTCTGTGGGTTGTATGGTAGGCAGCAAGTCCTTTCATTAGTTAATCTTGTTTCTGTCCAGTTGTTTCCTTCTTGTGTTGTGAGTGTGAGTAAACAGGAGGAATCTATTGAGCTCCTGTTCTTATTCAGCGGGCCTTTTAGATTTCACAGGTTTTACAAGTAAAGGAAGAGCCTTGTGAACATTTCTGCTCTTGTTGCTAATCCTGTCTCCTGTTTAAGCTGCACAGTTTTGAGACAGGGTTATGTGAATGTGACATATTCTGGATAAGTACTTAAAGTTGCTATTGTAATATTTAAAATGTTTTCAACTGTTTCAGCCAGAGTGCGTTGAGGAGTTATTTCTGCTAAGGTAACTGGAATAAAAGTTTTTCCAGTGTTGCCTTTTTTAGTATCCAGGAACAGTTATATTTATTTGGATTGCAGCATAGCTAAAAAGACAGCCTCCATCCCAAGGGAGCTTTTAATCTCAGATGAAGACAAAGAGACAACAGGGTGATACAGCAGACAGGAGAAGCACGAGTTAGCAGGGCGGTATTTATGATCAACGCGATAGCCATGACTGCAACACATCAGCTAATTAGGCAGTGGGGAGTCATTCAGATTTTCTTCCAAAGTGCAAGCACTTGCATGTGTCAGCTCTGAGTCCTCACTACCATTTTACCCATCTTTGATGCGGCCCCTGGAGTTCCCCTCCTCTGGCTGTGGTCCCAGCTAAATTATCTGATGGTACATAATGCCGGCCCATGCATTAACCCATACTCAAAACCATGACTGACTCTTACAGCTTAAGAGGCTAAAATGCTGATGAAGGACTTTTTACATGTATTCCTTCTTGTTTATTAACCAAGAAATTATGTTTCCATGGCAGCAGTCAAAAATCCCCAAGCTTTTTTTTTTCTTTTTACTCTTGTGGCTGCTGTGCCTGAAGAGGTCGGTCTGTTGTCTTAGCTTCTGCGCTGAGCTACAAAACCCCCAACTTTTAGCTTTTTAACAGACAGCTGCAAAACACAGCAGCTGCAACTCCTAGTTTGAAGCTGAGAGGAGTAAAACCTCTCAGCTTGGTTGCAAGCTGCCTTATGTCTTGCTCTTTCATTCAGTTCTGTTTTAATTACCAAAGGGCTTTACGCCGTTTACTCCTATGTCTTTGCCTCTTAAGCCTCCCAGTCTCCAGAGACCATCAGCATGTTTCAGTGTACCTCTAGTGTTTGTTTCCTTTGCAAAGTTTCACAGCTCACGCTGATTTCTGTGCCCTAGGGTTGTGTGTTGCACATG